TGTTCAGTCAGGCGACTTGGAGCCGAAGTGGTGTGCGAGGTGAAATATTGAGTTCGGATAGAAGCATGGCCCGAACTGCCCCTGGGTGGGCAGTTTGGGTATTTTGCCTTTTGTGCTCCTTGTAAGGCTTAGGACCTCGAAAGGAGAGCTCGGGTTCCTCCTTGGGGAGCTCGGGACTCTTTAGCTCGGAGCTCAGGTCGTAGGTTCCTCCTTTTAAGAGAGCTCGGGTCTCTTTAGCTCGGAGCTCGGGTTGTGGGCCTTCTGCCGTGCCGAGCTGGCGCTTCTGCCAGGTCACTCTCAATTGCTTCCACGTGTCGCATGGCCAAGGGGTCAGGTCAAATCTCCCTCCATCAGTTAATACTTAGGATACCAGGTATTGCAATTGAACATATTTGTATTTGTAATCTTCTTAGGCTCGGTTTGGAATTAAAGAATGCAAATATAAGTATGTAGAGTATAAAATCTTATATTTTATATCATTTCATACATATTTGCATTGCACATATTTGTATTTAAGATTATGCCACTTGATCTATGGTCTGGCAATGAATGGTATCTCCACTATTAGGAATGCAATTTGGGGAATGGTTGAATGGTTGTTAATTTTTTTTTTTTAAGATTATGCCCTATGTCAGTGACGAAATATATGGACGCACATCAAGAGTTGAATGATTGTTAATTTTTTTTTTTTTAAATTTCAAACGGTTGGACCAGAAAAATCAGAAATCGATTGCTTTACCCCAAACCACTTTTTTAGCCAAAAATTGTTGATTTGATCAACGAACTATTGACCCAAACAGTTGATCCGTTTGAACCAAATAATAATTTTGGCCATTTTTTATTTTTTATCAAAACAGACTGTCCATTCAGACCAGATGATTAGTCTGCTTGATCTGAAAACCGAATCCCAGAATGATTCCCTGTCCGGTCTAATTTTAAAAACCTTAAAGTATAATATGCTAAGTTGCTAACTTGGGCCAACTGGAATTTCATAGACTCGATTAAATTTTCAGGCCAAACTTGGACTTTTTAAATGTGATCAGCCCAATAGTATCATAAATAATAAACATATATTAGTCCTAGGCATTAGGCATTACTCTGTATTACTATTTGGTCTTTATATTGTTTTACGTGTTTCTTTTGTTTCAATTTAGAAGTATAATTGTATCTTGGGTAGAAATGTTTTTATGTGCAAAATGTGTGAATGGATAAGAATAAATTAAAAAAAAAAAAATATATATATATATATATAAGAATAAATTAAAAAAAATATATATATATATATATATATAATTAGAAGATAAAACTAGGATATTGGATAATATAGAATCGGCTTTGAGTTTTGTATCAGGGCCGGACTCGGGTTTAAAAATAGGCCGAATAATCAGAGGACTCGAGTCTAGACATAATAATTAATAAATGATTAAATGGTATTAAAGCCGGGCCAGAGCCCGGTTCATCATTAACAAGTCAACTCCAGAGTCTAGTGACCCAATCCGAGTAGGCTGGGTTTTCTTTAGTGTTGGTCAGTTTCGGGTTACTAAAAAGCATAAACCATGGGTTGGTTCAGAGGCAGTTGGGGGAACTGTTATTGATAGTTTTGCTGGAATTGCTGCATTTGGGCTTGCATTGCCCGCATGCACTGCATCAAGTCATTAAATTGGTTTTGGCTAGTCGCTAGAGGGACATCAGTAGGTTCAGCGAAAGTTGTCTCGATAGGGAGGGGAGGGGGAACATTCATAGGTGTCACCATGCTTGGTGCATTGAGGCTAGGGATTCCGTCCGTTGAGAGGGGGACGATGAACTGTCCGATGCATACGGTGGC